AATTCTGTCTGTAACTTTCGCATAATTTTTTTTCGTTTATTGTTATTCAATTGTAATTCTAAGGATTCTTATTCTAAATCTAAGGATTACATTTTATATTATATGATTATTATATTATTTTGACATCATCATTATTTATACAGTCTTCAAAAATTTGAATCTTAAAATCTCATAACATTTTAAGTGAAATTCCTGTTCATTGTTCCGAGTTAGAAATTACGAGTAGATGTTTGTTATACTGATCGTGTACTTTCGCTTTTAAATGTTGATAACATCATAATCACTTAATCTATAAAGCATTTCAAAGCTCGATACCCACATTCCACATACCGAACGGCACGTTCTCACTTTGGCACTATAGACATAATTAATTCAGTGTTAGGGGTTAACCTCCGACCAATTCGACTGACAGCATAATACAATCTAATTCAACAAAACGAGAAGAAACTGTACATTTCTATGGGCAAATATCACAGTAGAAAGTTTAGGAGACGTTTCATAAAAATATAAAATTTTACGACGTCCTCATAAAAGAGGTGATTTCACTGGTTGATAACTGACAATATTCTTTATATACGTCATAATCATTAAATAAATATTTTCCATACTAAAGTCCAATTCAATTTGACAACAATGCTTGATTAAGTTTTATAAATATATAACATATTGACGAGCCCGTTGGTCTAGTGGTTAGTGACCCTGACTGCTAAGCCGGAGGTCATGGGTTTGATTCCCACCCAGGACAAATAATTGTGTGATGAGCACGATCATTTGTTCTGTGTCTGGGTGTAATTTATCTATGATATGTATGTATTTAGAAATATATAAGTATGTACATATATCAGCAGTCTGGTTACCATAGTACAGGCTCTGCCTAGTTTTGATCAGACGGCCTTGTGTGAGATGTGTCAAGTTATTATTATTATTATTATAATGACTAAGTCGATCTTGGCCCGGGTAAGTTTTTTTTTTTTATTTTCGGTTTTGTTTGTCTTTATCCTTTACTTCCTCCTTCCTTTTAATATTGATAGGTACTTTTATACTTATGACGCTTTTAAAAGTGATAGCAAGAATAAGTCACACTAATTGATCATAATATTTCCAATAGAATATAAGTGACATAGACTACTGTTAGGATTAGGACTGACGTCTACACGAGCCGAATGACGGGTAAAATCGAAAGTTTCAAATAACAATGAGATCGGTTACATTCTTGTTCGAACCTATAAAAAAGGGGGGAAGGTAATGTTAGAAATGTAAACAAGCACACTCTCCCTATGCTTAAGCCGTTATCAGTGCGTATATGACTTCAAAAAAGAAGCATTTTTTTCAGTCTCTTTTTGAGAATTGATTTCTGTATAAATTATCTCACCCGCTAGCAGAAATAATTTTGGTTAAGCTTTTTCTTGTGGTTGTCATAGATACAATAAGATGGCTCTACAGCGAGTATAATATGTTATATCATAGCTATGAAAAGTGATACATAAAAAATTGGAAACTGGTTAAAAATTACCATAGTAAATTTTAAGCCTAAAACTTTTTATTTTCATAAATATATATATTCATACTCTGTGTTTATAATAATTTAACTTCTATTCATATCTTTAAATGAAACTTTAGCACTCTACTTGATTAACATCAATAAAGATATATTAAATTACATTATTTTCAATATTTTTGCTTGCATATATAAGAATTAATAGATGCTCGCCGAGCCAAAAGCTCTTTATTTATTTTGGGTAACTGTAAGAATTGTCTTGTCGAAAGTTTTGACAATACCTGCCAAAACCTTTCGCAAGTCAAAGTCACCTACTTTTCACATATTTCTCTTTTAACAATTAGAGGAAGGAATATATTTGTGAAATCCTTTAGTACTTTCTAAGGTATTTTATTTTAACGTGGATTTTGGTGGTGAGATAACTTTTCATACATTGTCTACCAAATTATGTTTTTCATTTCGTTTCATTTATTCTTAATTGTACACATTATCATTCATTAAGTGACAAGGTTTTATGTACAAAGCCAAGCTTAACCCAAACCTTAGTTTTCTTCCAGCAGACCTTTAGAGTGGGTAGAAGATAGAAGAGAACGTAAGAGCAAAGTCATGTGTACTTATAAATAAGTAGAAAAAAGTATATAATTCCAACAAATACCAACATAATTAATATTATTTAACGGGAATTAACGCGATCTCTTATTTAGGGTATTACATACCTCTGGTCAGTCAGGAGTCAGCCTGTGACCACGGCCGGTGCAACCTGGTCGAAACGTCAGGCAAACCAGAGGTATGTAATACCCTAAATAAGAGATCGCGTTAATTCCCGTTAAATAATATTAATTATCATGGAACGCGAAAGTTTAAAAGTTAGTAAATACCAACATTTATATATGTAGCAATTTACATTAAGTATATGTTTTAATATATGTACGTATTACATAAGCATATATACATAATTAGATACATATATATACATATAAGATACTAAGGGTCTGATTATTGAATAGAGAATAATAATCCCTGATTCTCTTCCTGAACACACTCATAAAAGGGCTATCACATATTGCATGCGTCAAGGCATTCTATAGTCGCAGAGTCGAAACACTGAAGGAATTGTCTTAATGACTTGTTCTATGGGAAGGAGTTTCTAGGAGAACTACTCGAAGAAATTGCTCGAAGCACTCACGGAGGTATGAAGGAAAATTGGACTAGTATAGCGTTGAATTGAGTAAGGAAAAGATGTGGACATCTCGAGCCAAATATAAAGCGGACACATAGATTTTGCAACCGTTCTAGCTTATCCCAGAGTTAAAGCGTCGACAAAAGAGACACCAGCATAGTCAAGAAAGGAAAGGAAGGGAAGAATTACTTAAGTCTGAAAAGGAAGATAATTTTAAAGACGGTTGAGGGAGTGATATGTTACAAACAGCTTTCTGCTCTCTTGCTCACTTTATTTTTCATTATCCTCAACTTTCTAGTCATCAATCAATTATCACTCTGTAGTCAGGTTAAAAGAATAATTTTATTAACAATTCCTTTAAATACATAATTAATGTATTGTGCTATGAACAACCAAAACAATAGTAATTAATAGTATCAAGTAGAAGCTAAAAATCCTATGTCCGTGGTTTAACTACGTAACTATTGCGGTCCAGCACTCAAACGCGCTTATATTCAATCGAAACAACTCTCACAATAGACATAAAATGTTGTATCCAGAACAAGAAGTGTATCGGGTTTGTAGGAAATCGAAACTTGTGAATAGTTCAGTTTACGGCTCATGTTGGTTTATACTGTGGCGATAAATTGCTCTTCGCACTTTGCATTGAGCGTCAAGCTAGAAATTGTTTTGTTTTATCAATTGATCGTCAATGTTACGATATCTTAAAAGAAACCGTATTGTACAGTCTCGCTGTCGTAGATACAAATCGTTGTTACTTTTTAAATGTATGTGCAAGCTATCTGACCTGTACATTCAATGTACAGGCCAGTTAGCAATAATATACGCGTATAAACAATCCTACATTCTTACTTATCCAAAACAAAAAGTTCTCTTATCGTCGCCCTAGTGCCTATTTGTCCAATTTATCGACCAATTTATCAAAAAATATTGTTAAGATTTAAATTTTAAACCTGTTGGTTAAGAAGGTTGTTTAAACTTTCTGGTTTTAAAACAACGAAAAAACCATTTGAATTTTATTTGTGACACGATAACTTAATATAAATTTTGTGCTTATTTGTTCTATGTCCTACGTCGTAAGAGGTATTGAGTGCTTGAGTGTCCTATGTCCACTCAAAAGACCAATCATAGCCCAAAAAGCCATGTCCGCCATTTTGTTCGATTTAATACCGTAGCAGCCGATATCACAAGAGACGTTAAAATGTTAATAAATTCATTTAATTTATTGTGTTTTATGTTTAGTTATTTTTTAGACCAGTACCTAATAATGTCTGGAACATATTACAAAAGTAAAAATGAACGCAAGCTCAAATTGAAGAGTAAGTACTTTTTAATTTACCCTCAAGTTCATTATGATTTGGCAACAGGATGTTGTTTGTTTTCTTGCTTCGGACGGTAATGTTCAAAACAAAAATCCTGCACGATTTTTTAAAATTGTTTTCTCTATCCGTGTTCTGACAATAACATGCACAGCAAAAATTAAATATAACAAAAAATAATAATTTATCCAAATTGGTTGAGCCGTACACAAGTGATGCACCGTCATAACACGTATGATATTACGATACACGAGCAATTGATTTAAATTTTTTGATATAAATAATTCACTGGCCAGAATATATATTTTTAATGTAAGGGTTTGTACAAGATGTCTTTTAGTTTGAGGTTTTTTATGCTTGACAATTAAGAAATAAGAAGTTAAAAAAGAAGTACAAGTTTTTTTTAATTTATAAGCACCAGTATTCTTATAAGTCAAAGAAATAATTCAAAACACACTATCATTAATGCTAGTCAGTGTGAAGATTAAATGAACAACCTGTATAATATATTTGGCACTTAAATTAAATAAGCACGCACAAATGGAAGGGTTACTTTGTGCGTCCACATGCGTAATTTCGTTTGTGCATTTTTGTCCTATCTACATACAAAATCCGTAAAATAAGGTATTTTTACTTACCATCAGTAGATGAAAATTCACCCTATAAAATTCACCCAATGGTAGATAGGACAAATAAGCACTACTACAACCACGACACTACTACAACCACGAGTACACACTAAACAGTTACCAGTCAGTCAATCAGTTTTAGCCATCAAGCTTAAACATTAAACTAGTCCCATGTATTTAGTTATTTTCACTGTCATTATTACTGTAATTTTTAATGACGAGGGTTATAAATTATTCAGATTCGTTTGATAGTGGTAGTAACACAGTGGCAATAAAAAAAACATCTAGAGACTTGGATTAAATAACATTATAAGGTATATGGCAACAAAAGTGCTTTTGCTTGTAATAAAAGTGAAACAATAGAAAGTTATTACCTTTCATCTTCTGGCAGTTCGATATAAAGCGGCAGCAGTGAGATGTTGCGCAGATAAAGTGGGTAGTCGCCGGCAAGATACGTGTGCGAGATATCGGCGAGTGAACGGTTGAAGACCCGTACGACGTCGGCGGCTGAGGGCGGCGCGGCGATGCCCACGTAGAAAGCGATGCGCGCATCCGCTTGTAGCACGTGTAGCTCGCGTCCGGCGCCCGTCGCGATAACAACGCACGCGAGCCACGCCGCATATGCGCAAAGTGCCCACATGCGTGCGCGCATCACGGCCCCGCGCACCGCTCTTACCGTCACCCACGCTCCGCCCTCCCCCCGACCCGCCACGCCATACCCGATCCCCGCCCAACACCATCCACGCTCAGCGTCTCAACCCCCCCGATGATTCACCTTCCCCGACATTTACTCAAATAAATTATCGTCACTTCTTCAGTAATTTACAGGCACGGTCAGATAAAATGTTCCAACAATTTACACTGTGCATGGACGGTAAATCATAACTCAATTTAATAATAACGTTTCTCAGTTCCAGGTTCCCGGCTCATTTGCGTATCTGTAACAAACGAAAGACATCTGTAATACAGTAATAGATTTAAACAAACACAAAACAGAAAACCGCGAAACTGACTAAATTATTTTTATTGATAAAGAGAATGATACCGTCGACAAAGTATTGTAAATATAGTTTACCTTTAGTTTTATGGCCTTACTTTAATTATTATTTTTTCAAAACAGAAAACTGCCGTACTAGGAATATACCTTGTGTCGCGGGGGGACTTTACATACATACATGAAATGGACATAAGGAGCACTTTGTATAGTTTTTTCTTCTTCTCTTCATTTAACGAAGAATTTGGGTTTTATAATTTATATTAATAATATATAATATTCTATAAAACAAATTAATATACAATAATAATGTACTATAGTATAATATTTACTAAATTTAATTAATACGTGACCAATAAAATAAACACCTACTTAGTTCTATTTACTAAACTACATTTCAATATGATGATAGAATGTTTGCTTTTCTCTTCTAATTTTCCGTGCCCGACAGGGTCCCTAATTGTTTCTTTCTACATTTATAAGACCCGTGTATAAATTGTGGAGTGCAATAAAGGAATTGATTTTAATTTAATTGAGTGAGAAGGACGTTGTGTTAGAGTTACTTGATTTAATTTTATGCTAGGTAAATCTTATTTACATTATACAATCTGTTATTTATTTATGTTTAACTTTAGCAAAGTTTTTGTCGGTTCATCCCAGCAACGATGTCGGGCTCAATTCAGATCTCGACCCTGTGGGCTTAGGCGTACCCGAGCACTTGTCGCGACATAACCTATTTATTTTCAGGAAAAAGCTCGTTTAGTTAACGCTGCTCATTAATTATTTAGGATATACTTAGTGAAAAGCGGGAGAGCTTCTCAAATACTTAAGTTTGTAATTTGATAGCACGGGTACTAACTCGGTAACTGTGTGATATACGAGTATGTATGTATAACATACATATATATCGCACAGTTTTTTTTAACTTAGCTCATTGCATAATCCTAGTAATGGTTCTATAAATATAATTAGTTTTATGGCATCATAAATACAATTATAACACATTGGAGTTTATGAATATTAGACATCATAAACTATTAATAAAGCCATAAAATGACAAACTAGCCCGCAATATAGTCATCTCAATGTTATAGACATCTCAATGATATCAATAATTATGTTATCGTCCTCATATTTAGAGGAACGTCCAAAAATGTGAAACGGGCATACACTATTCACATTTCTAAATTTTGTCTGCATCATGGTATCTCTAGTTTAGTGCTTTAGGTATTACCGTACCGTTCCATTTCGTTCACAGATTTTTGATTTTTGTTTTTTTTTTTGTTGTAATGGTGGTTTTTTTGTAACAAATAACCATTTTATTTCTATTTAAAAAATGATTTTAACTGGTTCCTAGGTATCTAGGTTCAGGTTCGTAGGTACCTAGGTACTTAGGAAAATATTGTAATTTAAATAGGTTTCTTATAATTCGAATGACAATTGACACTTGACGAGTATTTCCCTCTGCTCCTAACACACTTCTGGTTTCACTTGGGCACTTGGAGATGGAAAACCAAGTGCCTATCGCAGTATCAAAGGACTTGTAGTTGTTGTTAGTAGAAGAATATTGTTCATAGAAGATAGAGATGGACGGTGATTTTGGGCATCGGTCTACTCGACAGATCTTTATTAATTTTTGTTCATAATTGAAGTTCAAGCTCATATTCTAGGTACAGAAAACTGTACCTTAGGGATACGATACATAGGGTTTCGGATACCTTAAATTGTATAGATATAAGCGTGATCTCGATTGTAGTAACAAACAGTTTATTTTTACAAAATTATTTATTTTACACATAAACTTGTTTTATCGACTATTGCAAGGATTTAGCCTTTGTTCCTGGTAATTGTAATAGAACAGAATAGAATAGTCTTTATGGTAACCAGTTCAGTACATTATACATAAAATAGTATTTCAGGATAATGACCATGTACAAGTGGCTTCGTTATCGCTAAAAAGCATAAGGGAATCATCATTTATAATATAATAAGAATTAAGATACCATAAGAATCACATTTAAAGTAGATCATCATTTATCAAGTCCGAATCGACAAATAGAGACTGTTTTGAAATTAAGCGGTAATATTGTTTCCATATATCACTTAGGATTTTTAGCGGGACAGTTTCAAAATCTACCTAATAAATCTGTACGATCGTACGTAACACTTGTTGTAAAATTAATTAATTATACCTCTCAAGTAAACCTTCGCGGTTAATGATAACAAGCCGTTAATAATCAGATGGTTAAGATTCGTATGAGATTTGGTAGGAATTAGCAACTACCCTCGTCACAGACCTGCCCACGACATGTTTATTAAAACAGATATATCATCAAATGTCGCACATCACATTGAAATGTGTATTTACATACAAAATGGCTACTAAAAGTCATGTTGCCTTCATTTTTAGTGTTTAAAAAAGAAAAAGGACCTTAATAAAAGTAAATAATGTCAAATGACACTAGAGACACAAACAGTTGTTAGGAATAAAACAGTGTATAGCAATAATTATTGATTGATTAAGACTAAAATTTGCAATTTTACATCAAACTTTTATTTTTATTATGAACTAAGATTTTTCGAGGCTGTTTAATTCAATATTTGAATTAAGCGAACAAATTCTAATTTTCTTCCTATACTTTATACATTCGCAAAAGCTTTTTATTCATTAATCTAATTCAGGGAATGTTCTTTTGATGTGAGCACTTGCGTAGATCTAAAGTGAACTGAAGCGAAATTATATCAGGATAATTTTAATGACTAATTTCTTGCGGGCAACTTACGATGCCTACGTTTGTAAGTTAGGCTTAGCTTATATCGAAAGTAATTAATTATAAGTACGTTGGGTGACTTCAGTTATTCTTTATATAAAGTAAGTGAACAAGGACTATTAGAGGACGATGTAAACATAATAATAATATCATTACGTACTTGAATGCAAATAATATATCATTAACATCGTGTTAGTGACTTTGACGAGGATGAAAGCGAGAATTTGATGATGTCGTACGAACTCCATAACACCTTCAGTAACATACATCTCGGTACCCACATTAACTCATTCTAATTTACATTGTTTACTGTTGCACAGACAACGTGCTTCACAAAATTTGTTACCCAGAGATACTCGAATTTAAAATGAAATATTATACTTTGTAGTATTGTGACAGAAGTTAAGATTTGAGAAGGTTGTGGTTTCATGTTTCAACAGTGACGTAATAAAATATGGTGGAATTTTATTTACATTTTAATAATTAACCGACTAATTGACACTGAACACATACAAATATATAAGTAACAAGGAAATGTCATGTACAATGGCGAGCTTAACCCAAAACTGAGTTTTCTTTCAGCAAACCTTGAGCGAATAGAGGACAACAGAGAAAAGTAAGGGCACAGTCATGCGTACTGAGGAATCAACACAGAAAAGCAAATAAATTAAACAAATACCGACATTAATTAGGATAGTAAAATATATTATACGTATAAATACACATAGAGAGATATATATATATATATATATACACATACATACTAAGGGTCTGATTATTGAAGGTCGGAATATTCCCTGGTTTTCTTCCTGAACACGCTCAGAGAAGGGCTATTGCGTATTGCATGCGGTAAGGCATTCCATAGCCGATCAGCGGCAACACTAAAAGAGTTGTCATAACGACTCGAAGTGTGGGAGGGAGTTTGAAGGAGGAGAGAAGAAGAAGAGTGACAAAGATTGTTTCTGGGAACAAAGTGCTCGAAGCGCTCACGGAGATATGAAGGACAAGTGGGGTTGTATAAAGTTGAATAGAGTAAGGAAAGAATGCGGAGATCTCGACGCTGCCGAATAGGCAACCAATTTAGCTGTTTCCGAAATTCCGAAACATGATCGAACTTTTTAAGACCAAATATGAAACGGATACAGAGATTTTGTAACCGTTCTAGCTAGAACGGTTACCATGCTAATTATGCTATATATATATTTTGTTAATGTAAATATTATTAAGGTATTTATCAAGTGTTTGAAATTATATTAAAAAAAATCACTCACATCTAACTTTTATATTTATTCAAAAAAACTTTAATAATTTTTAACAGATCGAAACTTACTATATTTAAACTATCTGAACCTTCCCATTTACAACATAGAAAAATTAAATGATGTTTTAAAACAAAATAAGAACTGGCTAAATTAGTCAATTTGAAGTAAGGTGGGAAGGTTTACGAAGAGGCTTCTTCACATATATATATATATATATATATATATATATATAAGTTCTTTAGATGAGTAATCTAATCACATTTTAAAAATAATGTTGAAAATTACAACTTCTGATGAAACCCATAGTTTTTATAACTCTCAATATCAATCATTTGCGCTTATTTCAAGCAAATAATGTCAACATTTGTTGGTATATACTCGTACTCGTATTAACGCGAGTTTACAGGCTACGCAAAGTTTAAATGTCACTGTAAACCTTTGGGGTTCCACCAACCACTATGGTGAATTCTGTGATTACCCAATAAAACCTTACATTTACCAACTGCTAATGGTAAAAGTCCGAACTAGTTGGTGATCATCGTTTATTTTGAACAGTTACAAGTTCCGACGTGATAATTCTCAGATTTTATCGCAGACATATATCTGATAGTCACGATGATCAAAT